ACGTTAAGGTTTTAAATTTCAGGACCTCGCCGAATTTTTTTTCTTAAAAAATATTACAAGTATAAGAAGGTAGGCACTAATGTTCAAGCTTCCATCTGTTGTTCATCAAAGTCTTACTGCAAAAAGGTTATTAAAACAAAATCGAAATTAAAATACAAACGTACTACAAATATGTTTCATGTTTAAAAACATGAGATGCAATGTTTTGACATTGCCCCACATAATAAATACTTCACGTGTCTCGAACAATCTGCATTTATAAGGGCAGTGACACAACGAGTATTGTACGCGAGTAAAAGTAATTTTTCTTTTATTATTTATTATAATATTATAGTATTTTTTCTTTGGTTCTTAAACGATTTATCACCTTATTTCTACAAATAAAGTATTAAATTAGAATTAAATTTTTTTAAATATCTTTGGTACAAAAAGGCCAATTTTTTTTTCTCGCTGTATTCATTAAGATAACATACCACAGTATCATTTATGAGAAAAAAAACCAAATTCATGTTCTGTTCAAGTAAATAATCTGAACGCTTGATGTTCACAGGCGTATCACAATTGTAGCATCGATGCCCTTGGATCAACAACACGGAACAAATAAAAGAAAATACAGAAACGAGTATAGTAGCCTGCGAGTGAACAACTAGGTAGTGATTACAATATCTCATTTCTCTTTAATAAAAGACCATTTAAAATGTACTGCCGCAAGCGAAATTCGGTCGCCAATTTCGGAACCTGTTTAGAAATTATAGGGTCAGGTCTTGGTTTAAGGTTAGGTTTACGCTCGGGGTGTGCACGCGTGTAATCAATAATGTAGTCGAACCCTTAAGTCTTTAGTTGACATAAGATTCATATTTGTACTTATATGTGGGTTCCGCAAGCATAAACAAAACAGACCCTTAAAATGAGTATTTATAATATTGTTAATTAAGAGGAAAATTTGAAAGTAAATTTCAAGTAGTTTTTTAGTTTAGTTTTTAAATCAAATCAATATTGCTCTACTCATATTTGTTAATACCTATTTTATGTTTACAAAATTTAGCCATTAATTAATCAAATGTCGAGGTTTTCTACGAAATAACTGAGTCGCAATGAAGACATCCGTAGTGGAATCAAGGTAACCGAGAAATATCTCAAAGAATAAACGTAACTAGCGCATTGCTATATTCTTGGAATCGACGTCAACGAGAGAAAGGTCCCGACAACCTCCTACTGAATGAAGCTTGTAGTTAATACGTCATTGGGAGGTTGGTTAATATATGAATCTCAAAAGTGTACTGGTAATTTTAGTGGACGACTTTATGCATAAGTGACCTAATAATTATAGTCTACTAGTGATAAAAATGAAAAGTAAGTCAATGGGGTTCTATGTTGTTAAAGCTCTTATTATTACCTACCTTGAAGTTGAACGAAAATGCAAATGAAACTTTTTTGTCGTGTATTTGCAAAATTTATATAAGTAATTGAATTGTATTCTTCATTTTATATCGTACGGAACCCAAATTCAAATGAATGATGAAGCTAAAGATAGAGCGAAGACAATTTTTAACAATTCGAATGAATACTAATGAGTTGTATCGACGAATACGACATATTAACAAGATGAATATACTGGCCCATCGAAAAGGCTCTCATTCATTGCTTACTATATGTTCACGTTATTGTCAATTAATTTTGTTATTACGATGATTAGTTATGTTAATTATTATTTACTTAATAGCTCAACGATATTCGGTAAAAATCGTCATGACTTCGAGTTTTATTTTAGTAATAAAGTTCGACTGACAGGCACCTCATATCTATAATTCTTTATTGAAAACAAGTAATAATTATAATTCGAAAATATTTCACATGTTTAGCTAGATTTTATCCGCTTTTAAATCTCCGTAAGTTAAGTGGTTATTTCCACTTATCCGGCTACCCGCGCTAGTCAGACCGCGCGCGGGTGTTGGCGGTTGCGGCCGCCCTAGTGGAAATGAAACACGCGACTCCATCTAAAAGACGGTCGTGCGCGGCAAGCTACTTAGTTTTTTTTTTTTTATTAGTGATGTGTTGGTTTATTTTTTTAAATAAAACGTTAATATACAAACTATAAATAAAACAACAAGTTTTTCTTTCATAAAGAAAGGTAGACGAAAAACGTATTTTTCCTTACTTACAATATTTTTTCTTGAATTTTGATGGAAATCAAAATGTAAACCGTACCGTAATCTACTCGTATGTAAATTGTTGTAAAAGTACATGTTACGAACCATAAAAATGTTTAAAGTTATCTGTTTCTAATTTTAGAATACAAGTTTTAAAAATTTTTCAGCACTTGTACCTAATAATTTATAGGTAGAAACAAATGCAATATAATACTTCCAAATCCTACAAAAAAGTAGGTTTTAGGACAACAAATGGCAATAGCTTTATGCTGCAAAGACAAGCTTGTTCGTAACGTTTTATAGCTTAAGTTAATTCATTGTTCATAATCTTAGTATAAAAGAATAAAATCTTTATGACAATTTAATGAAGTACAAATTTAATATCACAAAAGACACATCCCAATAAAAATCGAGGACACCAAAAGGCATAGTCATTCAGTTATTCCGCTGCAAAGGCGAGCGAATGTTCCTAACGTCTGCCCACGTCCTTGTATTGTTTTCGCGGGCCGTTGCGTGAACTCCCGAGTGAAATATGGCTGACGTAGCGACTACTTATATTTATACTTTTGTTTTATTTTATTTCGTCCGCATTACTTAATTTTATCGAGTCGCATGAGTTATGTGAGGTGGACCACACGCGCCGTGTTAATTACCGTAGTGATGTCCGCTTCGAACGACGAACGAACGAGCTTTTTTTTCGTATAAGGAATTCTAATAGGGATACTCTTATTTGATTGTTTTCATATTAGTTGTAGATTTTATTTATATGAATGTAATTAGAATCTGTTTAAAAATAAGGCTCATATAAATCCGCCAAAAATACCATTTCAACTTCAAAACGGGGTGGACAGAAAAATATATATACATAAATGGTTCCTTTAACCGCTTTTGTATTCTGAATTATTTTGACTTGGTTCGTGTCGTTCAAATTTTAACCTACTATAAAAGGACACCTCGCATAGTGTTAAGATATTACTCACAGGTGCACTCATTTCAGGACAGGTTTTTAACTAATCCACACTATTAAACTACATAAAATGAAATAAATAGATATATAATACGATAATAATATAGATATGAAATAAGCATATATAGAATACTTACATATATGTCAACAAACTTAAAACTTTCCTCGAATTCTTAATTTACTTAATAAACAATGTTATCATAATAAATAAAGAAATTTAAAGGGTCTTATTGCGATACATTAAACGGCAAAGATATGATCAGTCCTTGGAACACTTGAAACACTTTTACCTTACCAGCAGACGTGTTTTTTGTGTCGATTGGTCAGCATGGCCTCTTAAGTATAATAATAATACGCCCAAACTAGACCGGGCCGTTGACCCGGTCGGCGAAATGCGCGCGCGCTCCCTCCGAGGAGCGCTAAGATATCGCTTCGTATCTCTGGATAAATATTTTTTTTATTAAATTTCGATTGCCTTAACATTTACTTGCTACTTTATTGACTAAAAATGACTTGAATGTGTTTTTACTTAAACTTTTGACGGATACAAAAATTAAATTTTATAAACCCATGTCACAAGGTTAATTTTAAAATAAGTTGAGTTATCGTAGCAGTTTAGTGACAAAGCAATTTTTTTTTCTTAGTATCGATGCAAAAAATTAATAATACTACTAACATGACAGTCAGACTTACTTTGCAATAAGGTATTAATAATTAAAAGGCATAGGTATTTAAATAATCGTTGAGTAATTTAGATAAATGTGGCATTAAGTCCAATTGGTTCGAAGAGATATAGCAATTTACTTTCGAAAACTTTTTCAGAAATATTTTTATTTACGGAAATAATAAAATGTTTCACTATGTAGAGAACAGTTGGACAAAGCTACTTATTCTTATTATTTCTTTAACATTTATCATTGACGTATTTAATAGTATGAATGTTTATACTTCTTTTGTGCCAACAAATACCTAATAGAAGTGATTGAACTTTTATCACAAGTATTTATTGCGAACATGCCCGTTATATACGTATGTAGATTTAATACGACATTCTTTTTAAAAAGTGATTGATCTTTGTTATTTAAAAATTACCTATATTTAACCGTATTTATATTCCGCAGTGAAAACAGCGCGGTTTACAAGTTATCGGTAGCTAATACAGTCATAAAATATTTTATGTATATTACCCCATTAAATAAAATACTACAAGTAATAAAAATATCAATAAACGAGTACAAAAATAACTACTCTGATAGACTTTAGAAGTCATAACTAATTTACGTCGTAATTAAAATATTTAAAAAAAAACACTCAAAAATACATAATCTAAAAATACATTTTCCCTATAACATTTAAGTCTATGAGTCTCGAATATTTAAGTAGTAATCATCTATCTGTAGTAAATAGTTTTTATTGTTACATTTAAAAGACATATTTATTTTGATGGCCGCAATAAATTATGAATGGCACTCAAATCTGTCGCACTAATAAGGTGTTAACGAGGGTCGTTCATTTTATGTGCGTTTTATTGATACTTGAGATATAATCATTTGCTACCTGACGGGATTTAACGATTTTCTTATTGGTGTCTTATTGTCAATGAATGAGAGCACATGTAGAGTTGTAGATATCGAGTTTTATGTGTAGCGACATTTTAGTGCTTTTTAATGGCGTGAAGAATTTAAGATTTTTACCGATACGGATTGAATTTATTTGTGCAATGGAAAACTTTTAATTTGATTGTTTTGCTAAGAAAAAACAAAACTGTATAATAAAATTTATTTACACTTATCATTAATTACTTAGTTGAACTTGAAATTACTAGAGTAGATTAAGACCTTATTAATATTATCTCAAAATGGTGTTTAGTTGCGATAACTTACCTGCTATTGCCATCCAAGGGTAGAAGGTGTGGTTGGTGGGCTGGTGCTGCACGGGTTGTGCTCCGGCCGCGGCGCCCGGTAGCGCGCACTGGTTGCCCCAGGGCAGCGCGCGGCCAGGACTTGAGGATTCGCTATATCTCGCCTCTGGCGTGCAGGCGGCGGGGCGCACGAGCGCGCCCAGCCCGGTGCCCCATTCCTTGCCGCCATATCCGTTCTGCTGCTCGCCGGCCGCCTTTGAGCAATCCGCCTTGGCATACTGCTGCTCGCCCGCGTACAGCTTGCAGGCGGCCGCAACTGATGCATCATAGGGAGAGTCCTGCGGGCGCGGCTGATGCAGGGCATGTGGCTGCGCGTACGTCAGGCCCAGCGGGAAGCCTCGGTACTGGTCCCCGCCGCCGCCGCTCTGGTGCACGCCGTGTGCGCCGTAGAAGCCGCCCTGCTCGAAGTAGGAGTTCATGTTGAACGGTCACCGGCACGAACGTCACTCGGTCAGACCACTTATGTCATCGCGGCTCCGCGCGCCGTGATAACACGAATTACTATTAATTTTATCGCCTATTAAACGTCACTCAAGCGTCATAATGGTCCTCGTTGGTGATAAAGTTTACGTGTTTGGGTTAGGAGCGCGTGGCGGGCTTCAGGAGCGGGTCGGTTGCGGCGGTCAGGGTTGCGACGTCGCGAGCGAAGTTTGTGGGCGACGTGGGCCGGGTGTCGGGGCGACCGGCGCGTCTCGGCTCACGCAGAGTACTGTGAGCGCGGGCCGCGGGCGCCACGCGCGCCGCCCCGCGCGCCGCCTGCCATCCACATCGCTACATCGCTACCCAGACCATTGTTCCGTCCCCTTTTCGCTAATCACTATAAATATTATCAGTTACGCTCTCTTTTCCATTCCTTATCACTCCTTGAACACGTGGTAGCGATACATAGAAACCAACCCTTAATTATCTTAGTGGTCAAATTAAAGGCATTATGTTTGATAAAAATTACGTTAAAATGATAAATAAGATCTTAAGTAGCTAATGGTGTTGACAATCTGTCTCAAAAGGTAATAAAAAAAGTCGGCCAGTCAAAGCCCAATAATATCAAACAGTAAAGTTAAGCCACAGAAGTCGTAAACTCATAAACGTACAATTAGTGAAACGGGCCAGTAAAGAAAAGATTTTACAACCGCTCTTCGGCCGGGCCACAATGAGCGCAGTATCATAACAAGGTGCTGAATAGAGTGAGAAGTCGTAAAGATGATTATTATTTCTTCTACTACCTGTTTTTACGAGTGCTGTTTGCATCGCTTTCGCTCATGGCGCCGTGTCGTTAGCGCGAACGGGACGACGGCGCTCCGGCGAACGCATGCAATCTTGGCGTAACGAAATGATGTATAGCTGTCCCCGTCTGGCGCAGCGCGGCGCGTGCAGTTGGAGCGCACTATTGAAGGGTAAACAATGGCGCATTATCGCAAGAGCACTCGGTTCGCGCGTCCAAATGAAGTCATCAAACGAATGAATGGCTCCTGGTACTGAGACACGCTCACATTTTTATTGCAGACACCTCTTTAAACAAATACATGGTGATAAAAAGGGCGCGATGTGGACCACAGATTTTTTATTGTTCATATAGTAATCGGCTAATTTAACGCCATAGAAGTGCCGATACTCTCGTCAAAGTTTTTTTACAAATTATAATCATTATTATTGGCGTCTCTTTAATAAAGACGATCAATCCTCACGAAAGGAAAATGAAAGTCCGGTGATCATTTAAAAATATAGAACCTAGATGTACAAGCGATGTTTCGTAAAAATCTACAAATAAAAGCTAATTATTATGTGCGTTTGATATTCCTAGTGTAATACATACTGACTCCCATAAACAAAAAATCTAAGACAAGCGAAAAGATAAACAATTTTGTTCCCGCGCAATTTGAAATAAAGGATAAATATTTTCGAAAGTAAGTAATCTACTTTATAAATGTGTACAAATTGCTACTCAAAATAAGTTTTTGTTAAGTTTTGATAGAGTCAACAAGTTGCATGAGACATCTTAATCAAACCTCAAAGAATATCTACTTAAAGATATACAAACCATAATCCTATTCTTTTCCTTTTTTTGTCAATAGTCAATACAAAAATCATCACATATGTGACATCACAGAACATTCAAATGTAACAAATGAAAATAACAAAACTAGGTCTGATCTCTAACTTCTATCAAAAAAGGACCTATAAAATGCAAGAACTTTTTAATGTTTATTTCAAGGCAACTATAGAGATGTAACCTTTAGTAAAGTAACCGTCATTGACCTCTTGATACTGTATGTTTTGTTTCTTAGTATAATATAAATTGTTATTATCTCTTATCAGGCATTATAGCCCAATGTTTCGCTTTCTTTTATTTAGATATTTTGTCGACATACTCGTACACTTAATATGAACAATTTTATCGTATATGCTACAAATTATTTATCTCTACAAAACTAATGTAGCGAAGAGGTAATAGATCCGCACTTATAAAGCTTTTCTTATACAACTATCTTTCGAAATCTCTCGATAATAAAACAAATGTTCATTACGAGCTCAATCTAAGGGCATAGTTAAAGATCTAATTAAGTTGATACTTAACGTAGAAATAAGTTATTTGTTCAGATTTTGGACTTTAAAGTGTTAATTGGGTAATCTTTAGTTTATTGTTTGTTTTACACCACTCTAACTGTGGGTTTCCAAGACCAAATCCTCGTTTAAAACATTGTTCTGCCTGTTTTGTCAATTATAATGATAGGGGTGAGGGATGTTTTATACGGAGATTTTGCTCTCAAAAACGTACAGTTAAAATATTTTTAAAATAACATATTATAAAAGTGTGTTACCATTAGTTTTCTCAAAATTTAATGAAACATTTTGGAAAGACAAAAGTTTGATGGTTTGGTTATAAAAAAATAAAAATCACCACAGGAAAAATAAAACGAAGAGACTGCTACTTTCTTCTATGAATATAATTCAACATCATGTCATAATGATATTCCGATAAGACATTTTTCTACTTAGATATTTTCAATAAGTGTCCAGTTAGAATTTTCTTGATTAGTTACGTTACACCTATTATTTGTTGATGGACGTCCTAAAAAAATTGAGAAACTCACTAAGTAAAATAAGTCCTATATTGCTGGTGATCGTAAGATGCTTAGTATTCAAAGGAAGGGTTTAATAAACTAATTTGTTTTGTAATGTTCCTGTTGATAACGTGATCTAAAGTTTACGTAGCCAAAGCTTGGCGGCAGTTTTTTTTGGGCTTTTGCATAAAACTTTGTAGATACGTGTCACGTAGACTTTTTGCTACACTGCTACAAATGTAGAGAAACGTAGAGACAAGTAGATTTCACACTATGTGAATAATATTAGAATTAGACTAACGACTTTCATACCGATCAGGAAATCATCTGTGATATGCAATTGTATCAGTAAAAGCAACCAAACACCTGATTTTATTTTAATTTAATTTTAAGTATGTACTTACTTTTCCGAAACTTTTTTAGATCTCCTTACAAGCGGTGTAGTTATCCTCCTCCGTATGTATCTAATTATAGTTATTAATCTCGATGTTTGTGGATAACAATAGACTTATGTAAGGATTGCTCAATCTTTGTTCGCTTCGCTTCTGGTTCTATTAAAATAAAAAATCCGAACTCTAATAGTTGAATAATCAATTAGATAATAAACCGGCATAAAATATTATGATATGATAAACATTAAAGTCTGTTAATAACCTGACTTAATTCCGAAAACGTTTACATTAGTTTTATTAATAGTTATCATAATGCATATCTGCGATTCGCGATTAGCGATCTAATGCGAACGCAAAAAGGCATATCGCTACGGCGGGCGGCTCATTCGCATGCAGGCATGAGGCGACAGATGGCGCACCGCAGCGCCGGCGCAGGCCACGTGCCGTAAACACGATTTTTACTACCACTCAAGTGGTCGTAAAAGTGACGTGGATTGCGCCGTTTGTAGAGGCACTGTAAACACCGCACCGATTATTTCGTATACGCCGCCGGGGCTAAACCTCAGTTATAAATTGGAAAGTTTACGAGCGGCCGACGCGCGGTTCATTATTATCCCGCGCTTTGGACGTTTATTGAACCATTATTGACTTGTTTAAAGTATCACTCGTTTAATAGAGATAAAGGAGTCGATTGTTTATGTCTTTATCGTGTAAGGACGTCTGACGTCTAGATGTCTACGCTCGCTCTATTAGGGCGCGTTTATGACGGCAATTCTTCTTTTTATAGAGTGCCCGTGAGATTGCTATCAATCAATGCGTTTATAATGCTCGCTTCAGATCCGGCGCAGTGCTTTATTTACGATGCGCTCCGGCAACTTGGTAACTTAGTTACGATGCATCGATAACAAATCGCTTACTAATAGAATAAAATAAATAAGAACCTTATATAAAGTTGTTTTATTTTTAATTAGTCTATGTGGTCCATGGTCCAATGGGTTCACGATGATCCTGCAATATCTGATTATGCTTAGTGTCAAAACAAGTAGCAGTGAGACTTGTACTACAATTTTAAAAGCCGGAGGACGATTAAATGTTTTGTCAAATTGGTTTGATTAGGCATCCAGTGAAGCAGGATTAAATTTTAAAGGCTAAGTATATCTAAGAAAAGATATGTAAAATCTTGATAAATTAGGTTAAACATTAAAACTACTATTTAAAGTTAAAAAATAATAAGTTTTGTGTTAAGAATTTTTAAGTTTAACGTGGTTTTTGCCTAAAAACCGTTTCGTAAGTAGCTCCATCTATGATTGAAGTAACAAAATATAAATATTACATTATATAGTAAATAATTTTGTCTCCGATGATTCGTATGGCATTTTAAAGTAAGGAAATATAATTTTGCAATTAAATAATCTTATCTTTAAAATACTGTTATGACAAAAATTGCATATTCTAATTTCTGCCATCTAGCGGATGATACTAAAAACTCCAACCAAACGAAACAAGTACGGCCAGACTGCTATGAAAAACTGTAGTGAAATGACCTCGAAATTTAAATTATCACAAGACCAAGAATGTTAATTATATAAAAATAGAAAATTGTTTTTATCTTTATAAACTTTTTTTAATTCACGCCGTTGATTATTTAATAAAAAAATAACGAGTTAGTATCATATTGTATAAACAAAATTAACGACGACTAAAAAAATATTTTTATTACTTGTATCAAAAATCGTAAACAAAAACAGTAATCCATTAATTTACAATGATTTACATTTTATTGCTGGGTTATCACATAATGGAAATTTTTATTATTAAACAGAGGTATAAATGCCAATAGAAGTGCGATAACGCGACCGTAACCAAGAATTTTATTACTCAATTCATCATCAGGCAATATAAATTCATCAAGACACTTGTTAATCATAAAATAAATCTTATTACACAGTTAAATGATATTTAAATTGACGACAAGCGTTTTATTTTCGTCATAACAATAAAATTCATTTTTACGAGCTCGATGTGACACGGTTTTGTTTAGTGCCATCTAGCGGGAAGAAGTAGGACTACTACGTCCCAACAGTTGACGTCACTTGATGGCAACTCAGGTTTTACGAGGCATTCAATGTTCGAATGAATGGAGGTGTCGTAAATGTGGATTTGAGGGTTATGTTTACTGTAGTTTCAGTGATTTAACAGATTTTTTGCCGTTTTCCTTACTGAAACAAACATTACA